AAAAGACAGGTAGGAGGAAAACAGTAAGTTTAAAAAAATCATAGAAAATAAAAATGCTACTTCTCCTCTTCTGGTATATTTTTTTTTAAAGAAGATTTCAGGAAAAAAAATCATAGAGTTCTATTGTTTCATATAATCAGGTTCAACTTAAAAATCCTGTCAAAACATTATAATTTAACATTAGCATGTAACTTGATTTATATAGCAAGTAAGACAATTGTGCCTGTCAGGAGACAAGACAAGACACTAGGGGGGATTACACTGTGAAGGAGAATAAATGAGATGAGTGACAGAAAAAGGAATACAAAAAACATCTTATGAATTTAGGTGAGTGGTGCAACACACATAATGTTAGCTTCTATACTTTATTTTCTCTTTTAAAAAAAAGTCTTAATGTTTTTTAACTTGCTCAACTCCTTTCATAAAATTTGCAAAACACATCAGTGGTTTAAGAGCCACTGTTGTATTTCCACAAGTATACAATCATTTAATATCCGTGAGCTGGATCAAGTTGAAAATCAAGTTCCTAAACACACAGGGTTGTTATTTTGCATTTTGGGACAGTATGTCCTCTTGGCTCTGTACCACAACTTACTTTCACAGAAAAGTGTTTTCAGTGGAGGATCATAGAGAAAGTTCATAGAAAGAGTGGTTTAAAAGTGAACGTACTTCTTGAAAAATCCCTTTGTAAGCAAGATCTTGGAAGATTATTTTGGGCAAGGAAGAAGGTGTGATTTGAAATTGAAAGAAGTTGCAGTGCATAAATTATCAGGAAAGAGGTTCTGGGTATGTTTGTGGAAGACGGACCAAAAGAAGGATAGAGAAATAAAGATTTGGCAGAGAATTGAGGGTTCAGCCTTGCCTTCTTTCTGACGTTCTCCTTTGCACCAACACCTCTAATACACACCCCATCAGCTCCTCCAGGCGGACATATCCCATTCACTCATTTAAGTGCGGTATCACTAGTACATACATCCTTCTGTGCCCTTTTCATGTAGTCAGTCTTGCATAGTCTGTTCTGCAAAAGGATGTCACTGAGTATCTGGGAAATAACTGTATATTAGAGAAGAATATGTCGGCTAATGAAATAATTTTGACATTGTTCTTACAATAAAAATCCCAGCCTTTGACTTGGTCCAGATTTTACCATATAGTGTACTAAAGAAAAGCAGCAACAACAAAACTTCTCTCTGATGCTTTGTTTATAAGAAAAGTCCACTCATAATGAGAGACAATTTGGAACGTGAAAGGAATTCACAAAATGTGTCTTTTGGTAGCTGAAAGATACAGGGAGGTACACTCCTGCCTTCGTACATTAGTAGGTTAGTAGTGAATTGAAATGTAGTATAGTTGTTTGAGAGTTTATTGGTGTTTTCAGTGATGCAAACTTGTGAATGACTTGGGAAATATCTATTCCTAATAACTGTATATCTTGTCTCACATTCCAGAAATGTTCCCAGAGCTTGGGGGAAAAAAAAAGTAGCATCTTTTTACATCTAAAAATAAGATATTTACTGAAAAGGTAATGAAATAGTTAAGACATGGATTTCCCAGACTTCAGAATTAAATAAAGCTGTTCAGGCAAAACCTTCAGTCTGATATTGGAATAAATTTAAGGACAGTAGAAAAGAGGTATCATGTTGTAGAGTAACAGCAGAGAGCGAGCAGGTCCATATTTATCAGAGGAGACTTGAGGCCTTTGTTAGTGTTTTGAGAGGCGGCAGCTGCTCCTGTGCTATGTGAGGTGAGTATTTAAGTGTTTGGCCTCTTCATTGATACAGGGCCTGGATCCTTTCCGGGAAAGGACACTGTCTGAAGAGTTGTCTGTGAGTTTTAATCTTGGGCCTTCTACTGGCCTGTTGTGTGACCCAGGGCATGGCACGGCATCTGCGTATTCCTCGCTCTTTTGAGTTTTGTCTCCTATGGAGCAGTAAGCTCCTCCAGACAAAGGCAGTCTTTTGTTAGACGTTTGTACCAGGGCAAACACAGTGGATGGCTAACCCCGATGGTGTCTCTGCTCATTATTGTAACTTTCTCCAACTTCTTCACTGCTACGGTGTCTGTACCGTGGGAGAAGTAGTGTGGATGTACTATGTATGAGGAGCACTTGTGAAAGAATTGCAGCACAGGGAGGATGTACTTTTCTTCATAAAAAGAATTGCTAAACCCCTAAGGTAAGCACAAGATAGCAGAGGGTATTATCAAAGCATAACGATGCAAAGGTTCATAATAGGTTACAGAAGCCTTTCAGACTTGTTTGTTGGTTTTGTTTCTTAAAATTCTTTTGGATCACTGGAAAATTGTAAAACCCTTTGGAGAGTGAACAAACAAAAAAACAACCTGGTAAACAGAAGAGCCTAGCTCTGCACAGTTGTAATCTGTTTTTAGGATGAATTTGAGTGTTTCCTTAGAGTTCTGAAAATTCACCGTAACATGTATCAGTGTACTAGTTGCTTTCCAGCATGGTCTCTTAAAGAGTCCCAGAGGCGTTACCTACACACCCAAAGCCAGTGGTTGTGACCATGCACATGGCCATGGGATATACAAAGGGCTATGGGGACTTTAGCATGTTCTTCTCTCAGAAGCATCTCCTTGATATATCTACCAATTAACTGTAAAACCTAATTACCACAACAGACGTAGGTATGCGAATCTGCCTGGCTGTTCAGGGAGGTGAGAATAATGGTATTTATGAATTAGCATGAGGTTTTGGGAAGATGGGCTGAGGCTTATGCATGTGTGTGGAGAGAAGAGGGACATGGGACAGTGAATGGAAGTTAATTTTTTAATATGTATGTTTTAATGCAAATCGTTTGTAACTAGAAATTCTAATGGGATGTAAAATCAACATTCTAGTGAGAAACTTTTCCCTTGTTCTTTTCTTTGTGGTTGATAAATTAATAATTTTATATTATTTCATAGCTGGTCCTTGTACAAAATCTCATATTCTAGAGAGAAGCCTTTCAGAATGATACTGGGATTAGCCTTTGAGCTACTAGTGGTGTGGAAGCAGCTAAACACCATTGACCCTGAGTCTTGACCACAGTCTCTTTCTTCTCCATGTCTTCACATGTTTAAGGCCCATTCCTTGGGTTACAGGATAACTCCCCAGAAAATTTCAAGTCAGAGAAGTGTTTCATTCAATCCATTATATGAAATGGAAAGTGGATGCCTCAGTTAAGGCAGAGGAAAATGGGAAAATGTGAAACAATGAAGTCCTCTGGGGAAAAGAAATCCAAGCAAGTCAGGAAATTGTTGCCCAATTACAATAAATTAGTAAATAGAGAAGTTGTGGTCTGTTGCTGGTGCAAAGACATTTGTGAATGGAGATGCCTGGGTGAATCTTTGGATTCCCATTGCTTGGCTGCCCAGCCTTGAAATACTCTGAGACTTCAGTCAGCAAAGCATTATTTAAGATGTTCTTAAATGTAAGCAGGCATGGTTATTGAAGTTAAATATCTATTAAGATGCTTTGCCAGCCCAGTTTTTTTTCTGGACCTCCATTTCTAGAAGTTACGGTATTTAATTCTTAACAGGAGATCAAAATGCTTGAATGAAAAGGTCTCTGTAAAGAAGGTTGCATTGTAAATGGGAAAAAAAATTAGCAGTTTTCCTGAACGTGTATATACCAACACAGCTTTTTTCTAACATTTCAAAAACATGGAATAAATTTCTTTCCCTTTGTTTTCTGTTTCCTGTGACTTAGGCTTGATACCATTACAAACTTCAAGTCAATAATAACTAATAATGGTTGTATGGAACAGCCTGCATTGCCTTCTTAATTTGTCTTTTTTTTTTTTTTTCCTGCAGTTCACTCAAAAAACCACAGTAAAGGAGGAAAACTTTTAATCTACCTCTCTAATGAAATGTACAGGAACATTTAGGTAGATTTTCCTGATAGAGTGTTCTGCCTTTTCCGTAGTCTCGTTTCAAGTGGCTGTTTAATGCTACAGAAATCATGCACACTACCAGAACATAGGGGCATACAGAAATTCTCTGGTGATCCTTATTTGAGTGGAGAGTGCTTAAACATTTTAGCATTTGGAGAAGCAATATAATGCATGTAACATTTTTCATTATTTTTTACCAGTTTTCTTAATAGTTTTGTTGATGGGCTAATATGAAGTCTATTTTAACAAGTCAGATATGTAAGGAGTGACCACAAGTGAGCACTTCATAACATTAAAACACTCCTGTCTCCATCTTGATTTTTGCCATCTTAGGTAGTTTTCCGTTATAAACACCTGCAGCTTTTACTTAAACCTTTACTAACGGGTCCCTTTATCTCATTGAGCACAGTGCAGTTCTACTAAAACTGAAGTAGTTTTCCCTCCGAAGCAAAACTGAAGGACAAGTCATGAAGTGGAGTTGGCACAGGGCTTTCAGAGGCTCCTATCTGACTGACTTACCGTCACATGCTTGTTCCTGTTGTAGGATCAAACCCTGCAACTAAAGGAAGATTTTTTTTTTTTTTTTTTTCTCCTCACCTAAAATTAAACACAGCAGTCAAGGGAGTGTCATTTCTGATCTGTGTGAGGCTCAGTTTACTAACAGTGAGCTGAGTTTGGTTAACTTCATATTCTGGACAAGCTTGTAAATTTGTCCCCTTCTAATGCGGTGATCTTATCAAGGTTGTACTGTTTTCCTTTTCTTCTCCTCCACCCCATCTTCTTTCTTTCTTTCTTTTTTTCTTTTTTTTTTTTTTGAAGTGCAGCCTTCTGATCAATGTGCACTTTTTTTTTTTTTCCATTTCCCTAAATACATCATGAAAAAGGATGAGGTTTCCGCCTTAATTGCTTGTGCCTTTTATTCACATTCCTCTCTCAGCCAGAATTGTGAAAAGAGTGTTAGTAAAAGGCTGCACAATAGAGCTTTTCATTAGGCCTCAACAAGGCACACAAAAGAAGGCTTTTGGAAAAAGAAAGAGTGAATGCAGGACTTTAATTTGCAGGTGGAGAGTAGATAAAAGGTGCTGACGCCTCTATTATTCTCTTACTTAGGTGACCCTTACCCCGTTCAGCTGATCCCAACTACCATGGCAGCTGCTGCCGCAGCAACACCAGGCTTAGGCCCACTCCAACTGCAGGTAAGTCCGAAAACAATGCAGAAGAGGCAAAGGTTAAGTAAATATGAAAAACAGTTTTCTCTTCCATTTGAACACAATGCAATTAGCAGGGCTTTTGGTCTGTTCTCTTCACGTAAAATTTGCGTCTGAAGCAAAATAATCGTCAAATTGTATACATTTTCCTTTTACCTTGAGGGAACTTTTTGTTACATTTTTGTGCCTTTATTGTCAATTTAACTACTTTTAGGGTTGTGCTTTAAATTTCTGCAGAGTGGTATGTTTGCTTGTCCTTTCCATGAGATAGTTCTGATGCAAACCAGCAAACCAGCAAAAGGAAGCGCACTGCCAGGCAGAAGAGCTTTGTCCTGACAAGCACTTTTAAACTGCTTAAAAGTCGCTTAACGTGATTATGTCCTTTCAGGCTGTAAGCTCTTCAGAGCAATGACTGGCCTCTCTTACAGTGTTTTATGGTACCCAGCACATGTTAGGCATTGCTGTAGTGCAGATAATTAGCAATTACACTAATTTAACATAGGCAATCAGGTGGAAAGATAGTAAAGAATTTTTTTTGAGCTACATTCAAAGGTTGGCCCTGTAGCCAGATGTATCCGATTCAAAACTCCCAATATAATTCTAAAATTTGGAGCTATTAGGGTTCCATGGTCTTAATGATAGTGGTGCAGATGTTCCTCCGGTATTCCTGATCAGCCCCACAATCCTTGTCAAGTCATTGGAATTTAGAAAATGTGATGTCCATCTCCACAGTTTGAATTCTGTTATCTACCATGTATGCTTTGCTGGCAGGATGAAGCCCGGTAAAATTTGGGACTAAAATGAAATAAAGATTCAAATCATCTCTAGTTCTGCAAAATCTGGATTGACACTCTTTTGTAGAAACAAAAAAAAAAAATCCCATATTCTCCATTGCTAATTCATCTCCCCACTCATTATTTGCCAAGTCACATGGAACAGCAGAGCTTTATACCTGCTTGGAAAAGCTCAGTATTTATAAACAGTACGTGTAAAACACATTCTGAAACTCAGTTTGGCCGGCATCAGTATGAGGTAGACTCTCTACAACATCAGATATTTCAGTTGTTTGGCCAGCGCATGAGAGCGTGGGACATAGTTCTGGGGAATAATTTATTTATTTTTTTTTATTTTAACACAGCCAGCGGAAGTTAGCCGAGTTTCACTGAAATAGCTGCCAGTGTATAAGCTGACACATTCCATGCACCACAGAGGTTAATACATTCATTCCTATTGTGCCTTTGTATGAAAAGCTACACTATCTGTGTGTTAGTTTCTGATTCTGTGAGTTACAAATACCGTAGGCGGCTTAAGAATCATGGGAGCCATAAAAGTTGTCCCTCTGAAGTGAATTTTTAGGAGTAGCATCAGTTATTGATAAAGTGCTTATAATAGCCAAACACACATTAACACACATATGGAAGAGGGAGAAAAAGGAAAAACAAAAGTGGAGCTAGCTAGAATGAGAAAATACAGATCTGAGTCAAATTCTTCTTATTTTTGCAGTCATTCAAGCTAGTCCTAAGATAATGCATCAGTGCTCCAGTAAGTTGGGAGGGTGGTTTACTTTAATTTCAGGACCAGCTTTGGGCTGTATCTCTGTATGTGGTGGGCTGAAGTATTCTGATTAAAATAGCCTTTATCACAATGACAGTTGCCTTATAAAAAGGTGGGCTTTGTGCAAATGTGACTGACTTTATAAATATCTTAAGATGAGTTTAGGTTGTGGAAAATTTGAAAACCTCAAAGGCCTCTTATTTCTGTGCAAAGGAGACCATTAGTAACTCTGTAGACTCCTTCAGATCTTTTAGACTTGATCTCTAAGGGTATGTATTTGCTGGAAAAAAATTATAGTTGTCTTTCTTCACATCTTAACAGTGATTTTTAGCTATCAGCACAACCTGTCTAATAGAAATTGGACATGCCTCTAATTGAAAGAGTCAGATAGGTTTTATGATACAGTACTCAGAATGGACTCTCACCCATGGTAACATGAGTAGAGCTGAATCTAACGTAGCTACTGGCCTAGAAGTATTGTGCCTTCCTAACTCTGTTCAAATCCAATTTAGCTCAGTGATGACTGTTTCTTCAGTCATGAAGAAACATTCATAGTGTTTGTCATGAATAACTAGTCCCAAACAGCCTTTAAATGACATGAATGAATGTGCAGCCATTGCAGTTTTTTTCAAGGAGGAACTCCTTACTTCAGACGTTACCTTACATTACATATAACTATAGTGTTCTCTACAAACCCTCTGTCTTCTGGTCATCAGACAGTAGAAGGTCAGAAAAGTACAATGTTCCCTCTTTTCTTCTTTTTCTATCCTCCCTATCACTAATTTTCAGGGTTTCTATTTTAAAAGCAGTAGTTTTCAGGAGAGAACAAAGAATCTGACACAATACTCAGTTTGTTGCTCCCAGCAGAATTTGGTACACAACGTTATCATACTGAAGACAAAGCCAAAGATTTTTTTCTGGTTTGTTTGTATAGCGATAAACATGTCTTTGTCATTTCATTAGAGAATTTTAAGTCTAGGCATGGCTTTAGTAGCGTACTCTGAGATCAACAGGAAGTACTTTTTTTATCCTTGGTTGTCAAAATGGAATTTTCTTCTTGTAAATTAAATCCACACTGTATTTAGAGAAGAACAGCTAACACCTGATTGTTTTTCTGTGGCAAAGATAGCCCTTTGTCAGTGAAAATGTTATCTCTCATTTTGAAATGCCCTGTTGATTCCCACTGATGGGTTTGTAATCTGAAGCCCTCCATTTCTCTCCCTGCCTTTGAATACCCACTGGAGTATACAGATTCTGTCATCTGATATCTATCACAGTTAGCCATATGTGATTGCCTTTATTTTCAGTATCCACAGAGAACCTAATGACTCAAAAGAGTGGTAACTAAAACTTATATTGTTAGGTGTTGGGAAAAGAGTGGATGGATGAGGCCATGTTGGAGAAGCTGGAACTAACACAGTGCATGCTTGAACCTGTCCTCTGATAGCGAGTTATCTTACCAGGCCTGCATATTCACTTATACCCACATTTAATGACACGAGTTTAATTTGAAAAGAAGTTTTTGGCTTTCCTTTGTTAATGAGAAGATTCAGTCCTAAACATTGTGTGAAGTATAATTTTAAAATACACCCTCATTGCAGTAAAATCCCTCTTGGTTAGCATGTGAGTTTCTTATGTTGTTTTTTTCCCCTGTAAATTTCATATGCTCTTGTTCTTCGAGAGTGATGCAGCATGGTGATTCTGTTTCAAATGCACGAGAACAAAACTGAGCATAGCCTTGCCACCATGTTTTACTGAATAAGGCTAACAAATTAAAAGCACTGCTGTACTCCTTATATGAACATGATGTTTTCCTATATCATGTTAATTAAATTCCTCCATCTTGAAGATAACAATTCAAAGATGTAAGCATCCGCATCATGTAACAAGTTTTACACAAAGTAAACTGAAGTGGTTATTCTAATTCTGGTCATCTTGGGGATATCTAGGATGAAATACATGTTTCCAGAAGTCTGAGCAGGTTCACTATAAAATAGTATCTGGTGGTTTCTTTTTGGAGAAAAAATAATTCCTGTGTGCTTTCTGAGCATTATGAAGCAAGGGACCTGATCGCCTGATCTGAAAATTGAAAGGAATCTGTACCAGTGGGATTGCAAATGGTTCAGATTTCCCAGATTGTTTGTTTGATAACCAGATAGTGACAATGACTGATTAATTGGCAGTAATACAAATGCTGTATATACCCATAACTACAGTGAAAGATAATGCTGGATGTATAATGACAGCTGCCCGTGTAGTGTTACTATATGGTCATTCTGTGTCCTGTCAAAACAATATAGCAGTCTGATGTAATACAGACTTCCTGCAAACATCTGCTCTTGGAAAAACACCCCAAAAAGTTTTGAGTGCCCACGTTCGAACTGTCTTCCCTGTTCATCTTAGCGTGAAATGGCATCATGATTATTGGTGGTTGTGTTCAACATTATGACCAAACCTGTCACTACATGGATCAAGAGAACCTCATGTCAGCATATGGGTGTGAAAGCATTTTATCTGGGTCTCAGTTCTGAAGACCAACCATTTGAACATTCCTGATTGATTCTCTTTCACTATTTGTATGAAGACGATGAGCAGATTTAGGCCTCAAACGTATCTGGAAGAATAATTTGGCCAAGTGTTTTAGTCTGCACTTTCTTTGTTAAGTACTTGAGTCAATTTTTTTTTTTCCTTGCTATAAAACTGTCTTTTCAGTGGTGTGGGAAGGACTGAATTTCAATGGAATTTAGCATATATCGCGTGGACCACATTTTTGGAAGAATTTGGGCCACATGTAGGCACTGACATAAGTAGCTAGATTTTGAGAAAACTTAAACCCATTTGGAGTTTGAGCGCTTCTCAGAGTTGTTCATCTTGCTAATATTTAGGTGTCTGGGTCATTAAAACCTTATTTCTAGGTATCTTAAGGGTCACGTAATCATCTGTGGCCTCCATGTTTGTTTTACTTGAAGGAAACAGAAAGGATAGAGCTGTTTAACAAGTATACAGTGACTGATCAGAAGGTAGACTGTTCCAATGGTTATACAAGTATTACATCAAACATCTGTTGCCTATGAAACAAAAATAAAGCATGAGGACTGCCTGCTCAGTCAGATACCTTTTTGTTTTTTTCTTATGTGCTAGCTTCCTTTTTGGCTTCTGCACCATTGGTGGGATGAGCAACATCTCTCCACTTGCCAGTTGAGGTTGTTTCTCTGAAGTATCTCTAAGTTTCGTTTGAAATGTTGCTGATGATAGAACTTCCCCTCTCTCTTAAAGAGATGGCACTATATTTTAGTGCATTAGTTGTCAGGCACGTTTAATTTTTTTATTTTTTTTTTTGCATATCTGTTTCTGATTTCTTACTATAATCTGTAGACATAACCAGTTCTGACCAGATTAAGCAGTTGACCTTCCACTGTTACACCACCACAAAT